ACGATCCAAATTCACTCATGATGGGATTTTTCTTCATTAGGAGCATCAAGCAGATCACAAGCTTAAAAACTAGAAATGTTTTCGGAGTGGTGATACACAAAAGTGCTTATAGTACCCTTTTAACGTTTCCCACTATTAATCAAACAAACCCAATTGTAATGTATACACGGTATTACTAGGTTTATCATTATAACCATCGTTCAGAAGAATCTGTTTTCGTTTGTTTTTGAGACCACTAGTATATATATATACGCAAACAACAAGATGTGTTCTCCCTGTCAGTGGTAGTCAAGTGTCAAATATTGTTTGTTATCGAATGTGCAAATTTTGCAGCAAAAACGCAATATTCAATCCATTTCATAATATAACTTTATAATTTAATTTATCAGACCAATTTGCTGAGTCGGATTTAAACGTGATTACTCACAAGGCAATAGTTTGCTAAAAGACACAATACTTATCGTCACATTCAGACACATTAATCTCCATTGAAGCCTTTAAGCTCAGGCTCTGACTCGGACAAATAATGTGCCTATCAGAAAACATGCAAATACCAGTAAGACGTCTTTTATTTGACCCGATCGATGACCGAACAAGCGAATCTTGACACTCGTGGTAGGTATAATGTTCAACGACATTCAATTAGATGAAGACATATTGTATACGAGACTCTAAATGCTATCTTTTTATGCGTCAAAAATGTCACAATAACTGTTGTTTCTGGTTAAGAACAAAAAATCATTCGCAGAAATACAGAAAATACCATTAAATAAAAACCCTAGGTCATCATTGATAACTTTATAAGATAAAAAAAAATCATAATTACTTTATTTTTTTATAATCATTGTTTCTAAAGTTTTAACAAAGTATATATATTCAGCCATTCTATCCTCTTTTATTATTATTTCCGCTATGAAAAAAAAAAACGTTTTTAATAATCCTAACAGCTATATCAAAATGTGACGAAGGGTCTATTGTTTCAGTACCAAAAAAATATTGGGATCATATTAATTGCATTAAAGTATAAATAACAGGAAATTATTGTTCTATTTTATCAATTGTATGTACGGAAATAGGTTCTAAATCAAAATGATGTGAAACGTAATATGGAATCAAAGTTAACTTTGATGGTTTTATTTCTCCTGGGTTTCATACCCTGTAAAGTAACAGCAGGTAATTTCAAAACTTACTTGTATGCATGTATCTTGGTTATCAAATTGTTTAGTTTTTTTAAGTTAGTGTAACACCGACTGAAAGTTCAATACCCAACTAAAACAAACATTAATTGTTGACGTATTTCATAACAGAAAATTTTAATAGAGTTTGAATGAAGACCCAACCGATACAAAATGTCAAACAGTAAGATTACAGCTAAAAATTGTTAAACGAATGATACCGATAATATTTCCCACGAAATGTGTTTCTTGTATTTTATTTTCGTTAGATACATTTACAATGGACCGAGTAATTATTTGTTACTTTGTTATTTTTAAATACTTTCTCGTCACCAATATATTTGGTATCTATATATAACTGGTACCAATGATGTTAAATAAATGCTCGCCTAAAAATCATTGTTATAAATGATGCTGTTAATTTCTTCTTGAATTGTTTAAAATGCTATCATGTCGGGATCTTTTATATCTCTACACATTTAAAGTCTACTTACATGAGCAACACGTCGGGTACCATGAGTAGAGCACGATTTTCAAACCTTTCGAAGCACCTAAAATCACCCCGGTTTTTTTGTTTGTTTGTTTGGTTGGGTTCGTATTGCTTAGTCTTAGATTTGTATGTTGTGTTTTGTATACCGTTGTTTTCTTTTGATCCTTTTTTGCTTTTTGCCATGGCGTTGTCAGTTGTTCATCGACTTATCAGTTTGAATATCTCTTTGGTGTAAAAAAAAAAAAGTATCACGGGTTAGTTTTATCCTATATTTGTCGATAAAGTAAAGGCTTCAATTATTTTAGATGGCCCCCAGATTTGCATTTCTAAACATTTTTTAACAGTTTGTCTGCCATTTATTATTCGGAAAGTTGTATTGGAGTTATGAAACGCTGTTTACACTAACACATAATCGATTCATAATTTTGAGTTTAAATAAAAGACGATAAATACGAAAATATATATACAATATATGTAAATTGTCGGAAAATATAAAATTTATTTGTATGAGCTTTAGAAACAGGACGAAAAGCGAGGCTCGCCGAGCTTTTCTCCTGTTTCGTAGGGAGTACAAATAAATTTTATATTTTCCGACAATGCACATATATTGTTTTTATCCTGAAATTTACACCCAACTCTTGAAACTTTAGTTGTAAAAATTTAAATCATTGTCTCCAATTTTTCAAAGAAATCGACATAGTTGAAACGCGGACCGCGAAGAGGACTCCAAAAATGAACTGGTACGCAAAAAGTAATATCCACATTACCACTTGCTCAACATGAAAGAGGGGTAACAGGAGACTTTATTTATATAAGTACAAATAAAGCAAAAATGTATTTGTGTACCTGTTATTTGTACAATAGTTAGCTGATTGCGGGATAAATATTTGTATTGTGTGATTCATATTTGCAACACTTTTGTGATGCTATATTATATATTAATGAATGAAGCAGAAGATACCATAGAAACTGGCAACGTCATGACAAAAAAAAAGACAACGAAAAGACAAACGAGTTTACAAAAACTAATGGCACCATTGTGTTACTCATTGTAAGTACAAACACGCATATGAGTCCTATCGATTATTCGGCTATATATCACAATCGACGGGATTGTGGTTTCGAACATTGAAACCTACCCAAGGTCGTATGTGGCACAGATATTCCAATTTGGTCTACCAAATTTTTTGGTTAAATTGTCATTATAATCATGATAAGTATGTAATCATTTGTGTGCAATTTAAATTCATTATATGAATTGGCAGCTTACTCCTTATGAATGCACTGCTATACTTTGTTACATTAAAATGTAAAGTTCACAGTTAGGAAACTGAAATCACCCTTCTTGTAGTAAAGTTCTGTTTTCAACCGACCCTTATCGTAAATTTATAGACTTATAGATAAGGCAGGCGTAACTTTTAGCTTATACGTAGGTTTCAAGTTCGATGAGAAAGGTCATTAAAAAAATTTAAATTATTTAGTGAGAAGGCATCATCTATATTATCAATAAACAAATGAATAAACGATTATTGAAACTTAAAATTGCAAAAACATCAAACTTATGGAAAACAACTGTCATATTTCTGACTTGGTACAGGCATTTCCTTGTTAAGAAAATGGTGGATTAAACCTCGTTTTATATCTAGCTAAACCTCTCACTTGTATGACAGTCGCATAACATTCCATTATATTGACAACTATGTGTGAACAAAACAAACAGACATAATAAGCAAAAATGTCAAAAATAAGGGTACAGCAATCAAAATGATTTTCAAATGTATTATTAATGGTATGAGTTTATTAATAACTCTGAATTATTCGGGCTACTACATTAATTTCATGTATTCGTTTATTACCCTCTTATATTGACCATCATTGAAAGGAAACAGTATTTAAAGCTGGTTAAGAAAAAAAAACATATGTCACATTGTCTTTTAATATAAATGGGAATACTTAGAAATAACTGAAACGAATAATCTTAATTTTAACACGGTAACCTCATTATCCAAAATTACTCTTCCTGGAAATCAGATATACGAATAGTAGACGCTCAATCTCTAGCTGTAGGGACAGCGATACATACCCCTCGATCTCCATGATTTGAAATATCTGACTCATGAGATGTAAAGTACGACAGATAAATAAAAGGTGGTAACTTTTACATTTCATATGTTTGTGTAGTCATGCTGCAATGCATAAGGGGATTATTTTTGCTAAAGATAGAACCTATCCAGTTCTTATTTCAGGCCGTGGCATGACAGTCACACCCGGAAGAATGACTTGGCTAGAGAGCTTTAGTTTCTGTAGCCTAGCTTCTGAGGACAGTTTGAAATATTTAAAAAAAGGAGAATATAGAGGTTGGGCTGGTGGCATATTTTTAAACACACAGTGGAGGACTCATCAAGGTATCAATAAAATCAATTAGATATCAAAAATGAATGTCATTGTTTCTTACATTAGCTGATAATAACATGGAACGGCAGCAGTTTTGACAGTGGCCGACTGATGGCAATAACTGAAAAAGAAGTTCGTGCAATATGTACACTTATATAATGTAAGAACGACCACTCCCGTTTCTCAATGAACGACAAATGTTATTTTTCGGGTTTAGGATAGATCAATTTGTTTGAACAAAAGAAGAGGTTACTTTGTTACTGGCTCATAATTTGAGCAGACCATAGTAATAGCATTACACATTTTTCTGTGTCTAGAAATGCATTTGCAATTTGAAATATTTAAAAGAATACACAACGATTATTTAATAAAAATGTGTATACAAATCAATAGATATAATGTAGATATTTCGCATAACGGATAACCGTTATCAGTTAAATCTGCCCGATGCAAAACGGCGCCTTATTCCATGTTATTTTTATGTTATCCTAAGGTTTATACGTAATTGAATATTTGATCATGCTATTATGCAACTGATTATATCTTTGATATATAATGATTTCATAAAATTTAACAGATTGATCGATTTATGTGAATGATGTGCCCATTGGACATAGAAAATTGCTTATCTATAATCGTAGTCCGTATTTTTTTATGAGTTTCCTAGTTATATTGGTTATATAGTTTGTTTTCTTAATCATATAATTCAGAGTTCCACATCGAGCTTGTGTTTCGTTTCAGTCAAATCATTTTTTGCAGTTGTGGTGGTAAGACACAAACACTGGTGTGCTTCAGAAGTTAAGTTAGGTAAGCAATATATTGTTGGCAATACTTGGGTCTTTAAATAATAATTTGTTCACAATTTATGGAGATGGATATTTAAAATTATACCAGTAACAACATACTGTTTGTACTCCGTAAGTGTTAACTCTTCTCTGTATTCTAGGTTGTTATAGACATTCTGGAGCAATGCATAGTAATGGTGTTCATGACATTAAAAGGTTAACATCGGCTCTTTGTTCAGAGAAATGTAAAATGATACCATATTTTGCACTAAAAGTAAGTAACATGTTTTGCTTTGTTTCTTTTGTTTAGTTGATGTTGTTGTTATTTGTTTATAAATGTAAAGCTACAGTTGCATTTTTTACGGCTTACCTGACCCTTTTCTGTCTTTGGTAGCTGTAATACTTTATGAACTAATAGTTGTCCAGAAATAAATGGCGCGCACTGTCTATTCGGTGTTATAATTTTTGTTTAAACCTGTGTATTGAAATGTTTATGAAAACCTGTGTATGCATATGTGAATGTTACTAACAAACACACAATTACGTTAATGGTCTTTTTTCGTAATTCAGTCTGTTCTGTACTGAAGGTACCCAATTGTATTTGTATTGCAGTACAACTGGTGTGTTTGTCTAAATTCCCTTTACAATATGGATGATGCCGATTCATCAAAGTGCACGTACAGATGTAAAGGTTCAGACAATGATGTATGTGGAGATAGAACTCATTTTACAGTATACAAGCATATTACTGGTACGTGAATTTATTGCCTGCTTCTTTAGTATACACAGAGCTTTTCTGTTATTCCCACCAATGACCAGAAACACTAATCCTTATTCATGTGTATTATTTTTCTCTAAATTATATTCGTCTCGAGTTTAAGCGCTTGTCAATATGGAAAGCAACACACCATACTAATTCTGCTATCAAAACAAAAATTCCGTAAAAAAAGTTCATTAAAACATAATAAAACACAACCACCGACGAGGTTCTTGACTTGGGACAGGCACGAATCAGTTCAACAAGTATTTTGAATATATGAATAGATGTGTGTTAGAATATTCAATTCATTCAAACTACAGTAAACAATAAACCTTTTGTTTATTCATACTTATTAATGTTCATTTAATTCATAGAAAAATTCAAACCAAAAAGTGATGTCAATCAAAAACTTGCCTGCTCTGTTATTGTGCCTAGAAATGAAACGTTTGAACTAAAAGCTGTTGACTGCACTAAAAAATACTGGACAGATTGTGTGATATCTGGAGGTAAATCTTATCAAGAAAAGTAAGATTCCCAATTTTCATTCCTGATTCAATAGTATGCAGTTATATAAAAATAACTCCTAACAGTTACCAGTATTAACATACTTTTATTAAAAAATGTTATAATATAACTTTATTTAATCCTTTAACAAAACTGAATCAATTTATTATAACCTTACGCTGTTATTACATGACTTTGTTTCACATCCACTGATATCGTAAAATATTAGCCGCAAATCATAAGATGAACTTAAAGTGATTACTTGTTAGTAAAGTTATCAATTTTGTCTCCTATATACATAGTTTATGCTACCAACAAAATACCAAAATGAGCTTGATTTGAATAGAAATACTACTGATACTGATATAAGACATCGGAAAGGAGAAGATGAATTAATTAATTTTGGATTAATAGTTCTAAAAATAATCCGCTTCTAGTTGGTAACTTAATTTTTCCTTTCTTGGTTGGAATGAAAGTTCTAATTAAAAACCATTGCCAAATGTAAAATGTGAAGTCTTACAAATTTATATTTTGGGATGATAACTTGCGTATATGTATAAAATTTATTTGTATTTCCTCTCAATAATGTTGCAGTAAGATGAACATGTGTTGGTAGTATGAACTTTCCCATCTGTTAAGCTTGGTTGTCCTTTTGAAAATTAATTGAATACTTCTGCTGTCATTTTGACATCGTAATCAGTTCTGTTTTCTATATTAATAAAGCCTTGATACACAAAAGAGGGACGAAAGATACCAGAGGGACAGTCAAACTCATAGATCGAAAACAAACTGACAACGCCATGGCCAAAAATAAAAATTACGGGGCGAATGTACAACGTGATTTAGGAAAGTACGATACATCAATAGTGTACCCATAAACTCAATACATCGTCAGCTAGGTGCTTGCCTTAAGCAATTCTAATGCAAGAGTTGCTTTTTACGGTTGATAATATTAACTTTTCATTGCGTCAATAGCGAACAATTAATCATACAGGGGAGATTCATCGTCCGGTTTAGTAATTACTTTAATAAATCGCTAATGAGTTTATTAATCAATTAGCATGTTTCAAACCGGTCTAGATCAAGACATTCTATCCGTCAATGGTTTTTATATTTTATAACAGGACACGTTTGTACTGACCAGGAATATTTTTCCGAATGTTCGTTGCATTTCATTGCATATAGCTACAAGTGTGCTTCGTGCAATTTCCGCATATCAATAAGTAAATTGATTTTTTTTCTAATGAATATGTTTAATGTATAACAGAGTGATTTATTAAATCATAACAACAATCCCGTTGGGTTGATAGTTATGCCGGTAAACACAAAAATCGAATCGTCGACATCATTAACCACAAAGTCCGCAACGAGGATCAATATATTTTGTTATTTTAATATCTTTGGTCCAGTCTCTTCATCTTTTTTTCCATTTTAGTTTCTAGACGACAAATGGGATTCACAGAGACTTATCAGTCGGCAATTAGTAGGTGTTCCTCATTAAATGGGACAATACTTAGCACCATTGACAATCGTGATAATTTGGAGGATGGAAGAGAGTACTGGTCTAATATATTTAGATCCATGTTTCTGAAATGGACAACTAATGAAACATTCGATGAGTTTTGCTGTAGGTTTATATGTAAAACAGTTGTTGCATTACATTCGAACTGTTCGTACCACGCTAGCCTCTGGTGTAGTGTTTATGTGAACGATAATGGTTTTCATTAAACGTGCAAGTAAACTTAAAAATACTCAACAAAAAACACATGTTTGCACTTTCGTTGAGTAGCCCAGACCTTTAGTACAAGAATGGTTAGGAGAGTCCAAGTTCAAAGTATTCTGTGTGCATGACTGGTCTTGCCGAAGTTATTAAGTCGATTATGTGGTAAAGGAGCAATGTAAAGTGTCAATTTGGTTGCTCTTATATTACAATTATGGACTGTTTGCTCCTGAGAAAGTTGCTCTTTCTATTTTTCATTTCCCTATTTTGTCATTTTGTCTTAATGCATGTTTTCTTCGGCGCTCATATCAAAGATTTATATATATATATATATATTTTCATTAAACAATCGACGGACCAAGTGAGATTTCTAATTCGATCAAGTTTAGGATTAGAAATTTACATAACCGATGGTTAATGAAAAAGAGATGCAAACGATACCAAAGGGACATTTAAACTTATAAGTCGAAAATAAACTGACAACGTCATGGCTAAAAACAAATAGACCAACAGACAAACAACAGAACACAAAACACAACATAGAAAACTAAAGACTAATGAAGTTAGTGATGTTTAGGGTTGGATAATGGTCTATTACAATCAACTATAGTGTGAAGATCAATCACGTGCTTGTACTTTTAGACGCGTTGCATAGGAGTATTACGACGGGTGTCACATGTAGAGTAGGAACTGCTAATACTTCAATAGCAATTGATATCGCCCGCTGATTTATTTTTTCTTGTTGCTCAATTTATACATGTTATAGTTTTCTATGCAGTGTTTTGTTTGCTTTTTTTCTTGCTTTTTTTCATTTTTATACGTTTGTCCAAGAGTTTTGAATGTGCCCTTGGTATGCTCAGCCTCTTTTTTAAAGGAAGTTTGATTTCTTTGTTAGGGCTACTTGAAAAAATACAAAACGGGCCACTCATTTACGTTGACCATTCACTATTTTTTTTTCAAATGAATGTCCTGTAAAGTAATGCCTACACCCATCTGCAATCTGCACAGATTATTCTCGAGACATTTTTGTGGGTAGCTAAAATAATTAAAATAACTGAAGCTTCTACACAAAAATTAGCTAAACTGAACAACGAAAATTGTTGATGATGCCTGGAGGAAAGGAATATAATTTGATTATTTTCTATGTTAAATCAAACTCGTTCTAGAATCAAAGCATTGGATACTGTGCGAATGATATCTTCATATAATAAAATTCCAATATTTGTGAAACAAACTATGTGATAGTAATAAACAACATATGATACCGAATTCAGTACACACGACACACATTTTTTGAGCTATGATCGAGGGTAGCCAAATTAGCACACGAGAGAATCGTAACCGTACGAGTTTACAGAAAACAACCATATCAGTGAATGGAAAAAGTTGACACAATTTCCATTCTTACAATAAAACTCATCTTAGATACTAGGATTAAAATTTTGTATGCCAGACGCGCGTTTTATATACGAAAGACTCATTAGTGACTTCGTATCAAAACGTTAAAACGGTCAAACATAGTACGGAGTTGAAGAGCATTATTGACCCAAAATTCCGAAAAGTTTTGCCAAATAAAGCTAAGGTAATATAATCCTGGGGAAGAAAATCCGTACTATTTTTTTATAAAATTCAAAGTTTTGTTAACAGCTTATCCATTATTTTGACCATATCAATGATAATTCATGATAATATAGTTGACCTCTATTCCAACTTAGCTAAAAACAAATATTAAAAATTATTTTTGTTAATTATTCACAGACTTATACATGTAAGCTATATAAACCCAACTCCACGTATTCTCCTAGTTCAATAGCTATATATAGTATACATGTGCATAGTATAACAAATGTTGATCATAGTGGGAGAGAAATTGAATTAAATTAGTCTTATTAAACATACCATTCACCTGCACTTAGTTTTAGGTACGCGTGAATTGTATCAACAAATTTATATCGGCATCACAGTTAACATTTGATTGGTTTATGCTTGTAAGCTATAGGCACAAGACGAGTTTTACGATTTGATGTTATAAACGAAAGATTAGTCCAATGATCAATTGTAAAAAGCTAACTCGCTGTTTGTGGCCAAGTTATCAGAAACGTCTTTGCCTACTTTATTGATGTTCATATATTCAAAAATATTTGTCATTACAAAAGAAGTGTCTCTTTCGAAACTCTGAAAGACAAGAAGATAAAATGAGACAGGTTAAAACAGAGGAATTCCTATATTTTAATACCAATCATTTCCCCTCCTCCTTTACTTGTGCTTCAAAACATCTTTAAATGTGCTAGAATAATGACAGAGCTGTTGTGAAATCTATTACACTCCTTTCTCAAAAATCGTATGAGAAGTCCTTAATTGTAGTTCACTTTCTTAGCAATGTACATGCGGATCAACTCGTTCAATATTTCCGTAACTCTAATGTTAAAAAGGTTTGATAATCATTAAAAACCACAAATTGTTGACATACATGAATTCGAAGGAGCGCATTCTTAGAATTGATAATTACCATTAAATTTTTTATGATTGTATGGTTTAGGTGTTAATATCAAATTTCATTAAAATCAAACTTCGAATTACTTGAAAGAGATAACTAATTAAAATATTCAAGCTAATTGTTTTATTATTTTTTTTCAGATGAAGCAGATGGATTGTTAAATGTTGATTGTTTATATTTAACAGTGAAATACAGGAAGGTTAAGTATATTCCATTGCCTTGTAGATACAAGTACACGGCCATCTGCAAACGCAATCAACCAGGAGATCCAGCTGTCATTAGACAGTGTCAAACTAGTAAAGATATAATTTGGCATACTTTTTATGTATATAAAAATAAGGAAATATGGTATGATTGCCAATGAGACAACTGTCCACCCAAGTTCAAATGAAGTGGATGTAAACTATTATAAGCAACCGTACGGTCTTCAAAAATGAGAAAAACCCATTCCATATAGTCGGTTATAAAAGGCATCGACATAAAAAATATGAAACAATTCAATTTAGAAAAACTAACGGCCTAATTTATAACAACAAAATAATTACGAAAACCAAATATGACAGACATGAACCAACGACAATCACTGAACTACAGGCTCCTGGCTTGGGACAAGCACATACAGAATGTGGCGGGTTAAACATGTTTGTGAGCGCTCAACCCTGCCCTAACCTGGGATAGTGGTGTTACAGCACAACATAAGAACAAACTATAAAAATCAGTTGAAAATGGCTTAAATCATCAGATCGATACAAAGCAGAGAAACATCTAACGAAAACTCAGACCGGACGTGGCAGGGAATTTGTACATCCCTAACAAAAGACACAAGGTACAGATATGAGAGTATTCGCAGTTACTGACAATTAGTTCAAGGCCAATAACAACTAATAGAATAAATCATGTATCTTAGACGAATATATCAATTAGTACACATCCAACATCCAATGGATTTAGTTTAAAGACTTCATTAACAGCTAGAGAAAAAAAAATGACCTTGTGCAATGCTAAATTATAAGTATCGACAGGTTGTAGTACCGTTCTAGTTCTTCAGATAAAACGCGAATATAAAGAATAGGAACATTGAAATAAAATGCATTTATTAAGGAAAGGCGACAGATACAAACGAGATATTCAAATTCGTATGTCAAAAACAAACTGACAATGCCATGACAAACAAAACGTCAATTGCATGATCAAATTTCCTTTAGAGGTTCTTATAGTTCAATGTGATGCAAATTGCTATCTTAACCGGTTTTTATCAATCCCCTCTTTAATCTATTTATTTGATTTATCGTTAATGTTGTTGTGACTGATCTCAATCTGAATATGCTTGAAGTATTTTGCCGTTTACAGACAATGCTACCACCACAATCACAAGTGATCAAACAGAACCAGAACACAGCAATAAATCATCCAACAAACCAGATCCCACTTCAACAACCGTAAGCACCGAGACTGTGTATTTAACATCATCGCTGGTGACCATGTCAACACATTTTGTATCGACGACTTCAGACTTTACAAATTCTGTCACCCCATCGTCCACAAAGGACATGTCAACAAAATTTGTTTCGACGAATTCGGATTATATCTCCAGTGAACACACGTTTGTATGGTATAGATCAAGTTCTGTTTCTTTTTCCTCGTCGCAAACAAGCATAAGTGATACTACTGTCGCTGCATTTATGGAATTAACAACCTTAGATGCACAAATGGATAATGACGACAGGACCGTGGCAAATGAAACTACAAATGATGGTTTAATTTATAGTGTCATTTTTTCATTAGGTACGTGCTCAATTCACTTTTTCTAACTTTAATTTTTTTAATAATGATTAACATAAAATTATAAACAACAAGAGTATAATATCAAATGCATATTCAAAATCAGAACGGATTATCAATTTATAGTAAATGTAGGTTTTGCAAGGTGAGGCTACTGGGATGTAGAACAAGCAATTTATTGAAAATGAATGCTAGGTTGGGACAGAAAGTTGGCAAACCGGCTACTTGCTGATCCTGAAAAAGTTGTGATGATGATTACTTAACATACTCAGAGTTTGACCTTCTTTTTGCACAATTTATAAGTAAGCATCAACAGGAAAATAGAAACTAAATGTCATATAGGACTAGAATCATGTAGAGAAAACATCAAAAAGCCATACACTGGAGTTTGTACAGTTAAATAAACATGGTGCGGAGTTAAACTTATTTTAGTATGTATCAATTCAATCCTTCTCCTTTAAAATGGGTCAGTGACATTTTCAAAGGTACATTGAGTATAATAGTTATTATTACAGAAAAAGGGACTCAAATCTACAATATATGTATTACTAACAACAACATACACACAAACAGTTTCATTACACTAAGGTCTTTATGAATAAAAATCAGAATATTCAGTTTTGGCAAAATCTCCTAATCCCTTATCTTTATTGTGTTTTGTATACTGTTGTTTGTCTTTTCGTCGTTTTTCGTTTTTTGCCTTGACATTGTCAATTTGTTTTCGACTTATGATTTTGAATATCCCTTTGGTATATTTTGCCTCTCTCTTATTAGAGTTATGACTTGTTAATATAATCGTATACAAAAAATATGCATAATTATGATAAACATTATAAGCATAAAATTCCCCGAAAAAATTATATGTTCATTGTGTAATCCAAATTTTACTGTAATAAACCCCCAGTCAAAAGTGCATCTTGACCTGTATCAATGTCTTTGTAAAACGAAATCATATCTGTCGACAATGGCGACAATAAAGAACTAACATACATACAAGACAATAATTTTTATCCTTGGTACTAGTATATGAAATATTACTTAAAGGAAAAATCAAGCAAACTGCCCCTTATTTTCCTGATCATCAACTACTGTTACTGTTCTAAATCATGATCTGATAGCTGCTCCAACTTTCGCCATTTTGAACAGATTCTGACCGTTCAACCCTAGAACTTATCAAGCCAGTTCTACCTTAATCAGGTTGGGACAGTTTTTTTCCCTATAACTGATTCTGACAGTTTTACCCTAAAACTACTCTATGTAGAACTGTTTCAGAACAAAAAACAATTTAAAATGATATCAACTGACATGCGACTAGAATACGACGTCTCTCTCATTTGTAGAACTTATTATAGCATTTTATTTTATTTAAATAATCTAGGACAACAACTTCTGAAATGAGAGGCGAAAGATACTAAAGGGATATTCAAAGTCATAAGTCGAAAACAAACTGAACACAGACACTGATAATTATAAAGCACACAGAACAACACTTAAATATAAAGCAAGAGCCACACGAACCCTTTTAAACAAAACTAGGGGTGATGTCAGATGCTCGGGATGGGTAAGCAGATCCTGCTCCACATGAGTCTCTTGACAATTCTAATCATGTCGACTTGATGATCATTTTGACTTTTTATAATTTTTCGCTTTTGAGATAATTGCAAAAAACGCAAACATGCGAATAAAATCCAATTTAAGGGCAATAACTCTCACTAGGAGTCATCTGATTAATGTTGGAATATTAAAAGAAGGAAGATCTTGATATTCCTAACATTTTACTACGTAAGAATGTCTGTACTAATGATGGTTAATAAGATATTAGATAATTACTTGTATGTTATCCTTCTGATCTATATTTAGGTATGGCGGCAAAACAAACATACCTCATACTAGACACACGGAGGATATTCTGTTCCAAGTTTTGTTAAAATTGGTCCTGTGGTTTACGAAAACAAACGACGGACGACAACCTCGACAAATATCGACGACGGACACTAAGTGATGGCCACAGCTCAAATGACCCACCCATAGGACAATTACATTAACTGGTGATTAAATAAATGTATGGTATAGTAGTGTTGAAAGATCTTTTTTTCACAACTTATAAAATTAAATTCTTATTTCAGTTCCAGCCTCTGTTGCATTGGCCATTCTAATAATAATGGCAGTACTTATAACTGTAGTACGAAGGTACGTTATAAGAGTGCACATGCCAAAAGGTATTGTACTGGTATGCGATACAGCGGAGGTATGCATTGCCATTGCACGAAAATCACTTATTCAAAACAAATCATTTTTTTCTGATAAATATTCCAGTATTGTATAAATATTGATAAATCATAATACAAATGGAAAATTGTTTTTTTTTTTTTTTTTTCTGTTTAATTCTCTATTCTACAAAATGTTCATTGCATGCGTAGGAAATTAAGGATAATGGGGAAAAAACAGGGCCATTGCCACAAGTATCTCTTTAATTAACATTTCCATCTTGTTTTGATAATTCTTCAATTGAGTTTAAAACTGGGAAGTTGGTTTTAGAGCAGAAAGTATAAATCCATCGTGACAACCGTACTTTTCCCTTTCTTATTACAATACAAAGATGTGGTATGATTGCCAATGAGACAAACTTCCACAAGAGACTAAGTGATGTTAGCAACTAAATGTCACTGAACGGTCTTCAACAATGAGCAAACTCATACTGTATAGCAAGCCATACAATATCCGAACATTCAAACAACCACATCTATGGAAAAAACAATAAACAAAAAACAAATAAGATATACAGCAACAAATGACAACCACTAAATTACAGTTACTGAAAGCTGGTTCAAAACCTATAACAACTAATGATTAGAAACAATCATGAATCCAAGACTACAATTATACCAATCAGTACACATCCAATCGATTAAGTGTAGCGACGTCATAAACAGTAAGAAAAAATGATATTAATTGCGCAATGCAAAATGTCAGTATCGACAGAATGTTGGACCGTAAATGTTCATAGATGTTTAGCAATTATACTATTTAGTTATGTCCTAATTCATTTAACTAGCTATAAAACCAGGTTAAAACCACCATTTTCTTCAGAAAATGCCTGTACCAAGTCAGGAATATGACAGTTGTGCTTCACGTTTGTCACTTTTTTCACCGCTGATTGATAACTTTTGATTTTGTCAGTTTTCATGAACTTTCTCTTTTTTTACTTACCTTGAAGTTCAGTAATTTTGTTATACTTTTTTATTGAAAAAAAAAAGAATCTGATTCAATGCTTGTACCGATAAAAACGATTTCTTTTTAGAATAAGTCTATTTAAAGGACCGATAAGTTTACGCTGATTGTATTTAAATTGACGAGCTTTATAAACAACATCCCCGTAAAAATTAGGATATGACATCCCGTTTGTAATACGTTTTTCTACAGGTATAGCCAACTTCCAAAACCAAATCTTTGTTGATTTGGGTTTATGTCTTGCATTCTTGGTTGTACAGATGAAGAAGATTTGCATCTGTCATTTGGGAGAACAAAAACCGATCATTGTTATTTTTCATAAAAGATACTAAAAACAAATCCAATTGCAATCTGTATTCTTCTATTAAACCTGAGTGAGTTTGATGGAATTCAATAATTGTATACTAGAATTTACTTCGCTATATTTCTCATTTATAAATACGTAAAAAATAGTTATATTTCAGAATTATTTCAAAATCGCTTAACAAAATACATTCCATGCAGTGTTGTTACTAGAAAAACTAATGTTTTTAGGAACATCAAATAACGTATCACTTGTCTTAATTTTGTACAAATGAAGGTTGCCTTTTACGAATCAGGATTAACAATTGTTGCTTGCTATGTTACTCAATTGCTTGTATTTTTCTTTAGACGAAAAAGGGAGAAAGCCTATCCTGAATGTAATGGACTTCAAATCGAGCTTGGCGCACTAGAACCGATTATTGAATATGAAAATAAGTCAAACGATAACCAAAGAAATTATTGGAAGACACAAGATAGAGGCAATCCTGATTGCCAAATTTATGATAAGACGAACGATCAATATCAACATCTTGATTTTGATGTACTAAGTAAAGCACCAACATGTTTCGAAGCTGAATATGATTTTGCTATGGCAACAACGTCATTTCTGAAGCCAGACCAAAAGAATCCTTCCAGCAATAGTGCATTAAAAATCGCTATGGCAAAACGTGCAAAAGTGCTACGAACATCATTACATTTTCTTCAAGGCCAGTTTTCAAAGCAGAAGTCTGAAAAAGAAAATGTAGCATATTGTGACAATGCAATAGTGCACACCAAATTCTTGTATGACACACCACAACAATCTATAAAGCATGTCAACAAACCTTAGTACACTGTATTTAGTCTCAGCGATTACGAAAGCATGCGTGTGTCATCGAAAGCAATGTTATTTTGAATCAGGAGCTCAAAGTCAAGACAAATAATACTTAATATCCTGGGTTTTTTTTTAAACAATGCCATGACACTATGACGATGTTATTTAAATTGTTCAAGTATCACAACACGTCAAATGTTTTTTATAACATTGCAGATGACTTGCTATTATTGACAGTTTGTTACTCCTTAAAAATGGCGTCCTGTTAACAACAATCAGTAAGCATCCATTAGAATTCCTCAAAGTAGGAGTAAATTTATTTTTGAAATACAAAGTCTATTCCTTTTAAAGCAGGGTCTGTTTATCATTCCGCAGCACCTGATATCACTCCCATTTTTAATGGAGTTTGATTTGCTCAGTTTTTAGTTTTCTATGTAGTTTTTTTTTTTGTAGACTGCTGTTTGTCTTCTCGTCGCCATTGATTTTGCCATAGTAATGTCAGTATTTCTAAGACTTCGGATTTTTGTATTGTTTCTTTAATGTTTTCTATTACTTTTATTAAAAGACTTTCATCATATACCTTGTTTACATTTGTTTCAATTCAATGCATTATACATGTTTCATAATTGTCAATACCGGCTGATAAAGTGTTAGACTGAAAACAGTTATAAAGTTATCTTCAGTACCTTTGGTATTATAAAGGTTTGAATGCACATTGGAAATTTTGAATAGTTTTCTCAAAGTTGTGCTTGCAGTTTCGATCAAGTTAGTGTTTTAAAGCTTTCATTAAAATTATTATGATTTAACCTATTTATTCTTATATTTTTCTTATTCTGTTGAATAATTGTCCGTTTTTACATATTTTTTTAGATATGATTAAGATGTACATAATAAACTACCTTGAAGTGTGGTGGCATTCATTATTGTATATATTGTACTTACCCATCTAATAAAAAAAAATCCTTTAATTTTAAAAAGATACATGTTTTTTGTAATATATTGTAATATTCAAATAGATACGAACTAGCACTGTTACAATGGTTTATAGATAACACAAGAAATCTTACAAATCTCATTTATTTAGGAATGACTGTAATATTTTTTCTGTCTATGAAAAAATAACATAAAAAATGTGGTGCACACTGAATAACCTGGCTAATTACGGTTATTTAAATTGTGCGACACATTTTTTAGGTTATTTTGAATAGACAGAAAAATATTACAGTCGTTCCTTAAAATTGTATTCTAAATTCCATTTTTAAGGAGTAAATCATGACAAAACGTTGATGACGTCACGGTCACAAGACGTGATACATCCAAAATTAAATTATATGTGTATCCAGTAAATGTTGAACTACACCTGTTGAAGTTCTGGTTCTTCTGACTGAGGTTCTTACTACCGTTAACCAACTATTCATAAATTAATAAATTTGTGTGACAAAGTTGATGCTTATAGCAGAATTGAATATTTCTGGAGTGTGAAAAAACTGCTTGGAAGTCTTTCGAAAACGCTAATTTCATTCAAGGTCCGTTTGTCTCCTTCGACGGCAATTACATTTCGATTCTGTTAAACTTGACAGACAGATAAAGAGGAAGTTAGTATGTTGTTCATTTCATTTTCTCCTAATTAATTTGGTTTAATTAACTTGGGCTCCGTTTATATTTTAAGTCTAAATAGGCAGTGTTTGCGCTTCAATGGTATATTTTGATTGTTTTTAATTGATAACGTGATCACAAATGTTATATGTATGTATATTTGTATATATGAAAAGTTAATGAAAATAAATTGTGTTATTCCACAATACACAGTTTATGTTCTTATTTTCCTGATCAGTAAGCTTCTAAGACCATATGTTCTATTTCACATGTTCAACCAAACATTAAGCATTTCTTTTCTATACAGAGCTCAAAGAAATAAAGACAAATCTTCTGTAAGTTTGCAAAATCTATTTCAAAGAAATCATTTTATAAAGCAACAGAAACATGTTTATGACATATGTAACCAGTAATTTTTAATCAGAATTAAGAAAAATAAATAAACATACTGCAAATTGGGCAGAGTAGATGCAAACGTATACGCATAGCAGAGGGTGTAGATGTGGTTTACAGAATAAAGAATAATGGGCAAAAAATATTAAGAATATAGAAAAATGGACCAAAAAAAAAATAGAGAATAATGAGGTGCTAAAATACACATTAATAGAGAATAATGCGCAAAAAGTATAAAGAATAGAGAAAATGGACCAAAAAAATAAAGAATACAGAAATGAAGGACCCAACCCCCTAACCCCCTCCCACCATCCAGACCCTAATAGCGGGCCTTGTAACGAAAGGAAGTGTATCTACCACCAATTCTGCTGTTAAACTATTCAACCTTAATATTAAGTGTTCATTTGCCCATTGACTTACAAAAAACAAACATTCAACCAACTTGTAAAGAATTCAGCTTATTGTATAATCAACAACACCCACAATAGTCTGATAAAGTACAATATTGCAATGCCATGCGTTTTAGTTTGATGGTGCTTCTTGTGTACTATTTCCTAGAATTCTAGATTAATATTATAGGTCCTTTAGCTATCATTAAACAGTTTAAAACTTGTCAACATAACCGCAAAACAGCAAATAGATTAGAGAATTGAAACGGGGAATGTGTCAAGGATACAACTACCCCACCAAAGAGCACAAAACAGCCCAAGGCCACCAATTGGTCTTCAACGCAGCAAGAAAATCCCGCACCCGGCTTCAGATGGCCCCTGAACAATAATGTATACGTGTTCAACAAAACGGACGCCACACTGAATTTCGAAACATACAATTGAACCAAAATTTAATAAAAAAAAACACACAAGACTAACAAAGGCTAGAGGTTCCTGACTTGGGACAGGCACACAAATGTGGTTATTTTGATCATGGTACATTATAAGATGATTAACATTCAGAACGACACTTAGATCCTTTCCACGTAGTGTTCAGGGGCGGATCCAGGATTTTTGGAAAAGGGGGGTGGGAGTATGTAAATATCGCCGAGCGGAACGAGGCAAACATTTTTTTGGACCTTTTTTTGGCTAAACATAAAATAAGAGTAAAATGCACCTTTTTAACGGTTCCTGACGTAAGGCATGTATATTTTATAGTTAAAGTGTAAGGGTTGGACATTTTTGATGCCGTATTCTCCCCATTAACTGTCTATTATAAAATGATTGGATGGATCCAAAGCTATGTACTAATATATTTGATGTGGGACTTGTCAGTAAAAAATTGACATGGAAAATTATCGTTTGTTGTATGTTTAGTTAGCATAACATCACGTATTTCTTGTTGTAAACAAGATATACGCCGGGCTATTCAATGAAATTTACAATACGACCGACACGAGTTAAGAAAGACAAACAAGCAATTTTTATCCAAAGGTTTGGTTGAAATGTGAAGTGAGGGGTTTCAAATCAACCAAAGGCTACGAATGAGTCTGAAATGACAACGAATATATGAATGACGGTCGACAAATGGAGACATAAAGGCCACACCCAGCAGGCAGGTTGCAGTCGGGCCTTGAAAAAGTATTCAGTTTATCAGTTCGAAGAAACAGACATTCCGGTCAGAAATGGGACTTACATGCAAACCCCCGGCCCCAAACAAATTACGCCCGTTTTTTTATTCATCATGTTCATTTAATGCTAAATAATTCTGTTGGAAATTTTTGTTTCTAATAGCAAAAAAAGTGGACAAGATTATTGTTTTCAATCCAGATACGGCCAGAATTTTTGTTTAAGGCAAAAATCAGGGTCAGAATTTTTTCTCTCAAACATCTCAGACTGCCCCCTCAAATCAAATGGTCCGTACCCTAGACTTTAAATCTATCTACAGCTTATTGACTGGGGATCATTATTCAGCTATGTTATTGATAGGCTGGGGCGTGTTGGATTAAACATGTTTTCGTAGGTAAATAATATTGCTGTGGAACTTTTTTTTCATGAAAGTGTAATAGAGTATTACTTTCTGTTCGGTGGAATTGTAAAATAAATACGTTCTTGCTCAATCCTTTGTCGCTTTGAGGGTGTCATGCTTGTCATCCTCAGCCTAAGCAATGTGTTACTGTAATTTGAATTTCAAAATGACTGAGTGACGTTTTTTCGACGCACTGGTCAACTCCACCGTAGCGAATCACATGATTTTGACACAATCAATAATATATATTACAGTAAATACGAGCGAAACATATCTTTATAAGTAAAGAATTGCCGCATAAAAATTAAATACGCGGAAAATGGCAAAGTTCACGAAGTCTAGTCTGATTAATCATTTAAAAAAAAAAAAAAGAAAAAAAGAAGTGCAAGCAAAAGGGGGGGGGGGGTGTACGCCCTCTACGCCCCCCTCTGGATCCGCCACTGGTGTTATTTCACGAATGTACTTCATTTTTAAACATGCAAGTTATTAAAAAGGATTATGACATCCCATTACGATATTCTTATTTAATTGCAGTGTCAATTTAAACTTTTAATATTTTTTATAAATTATTATACATTACTTCTATAAATATTATCAGCGGTACGTTAAATTGTTATACTGTATTATTTTTTCTTCATCATTTTAAAATCAATTTAGGCATAAAAAAAATCAATCTAAAAGTCCTTTTTTTAAATCAATCATTATTTGTTAAAAGCTGTATCACTTAATTAATAATTTTTTGAAAATCGTGTTTGATCAGTTTTCAGAATATTATATATCAATTGAGGACAAGGTCGTGTTAATTTATACGGAAATACTATTATTATATTCATTCAAACACTCTTCCGCTTGAACATTTTCATCTCTTGAGACTAATAGTCATTGAAATTGTATATCCATTTAGTCTGGTTTTATTTCTGGACACAATTATTAATCATCTTTTGAAAAGAATTTATACATTCCCTATTTTTAGATTTTATTGACTGTAGTCAGTTTGATCTCTTGATACATCGGCGGATCCAGGAGGAAAGGGGGGTTCGGGGTTAGTACCCCCTTTTTTTTTCTTTTTTTTTTCCAATTAATTTCGTTTTTTATATATATATATATAATTATATGAACGTTTCATAGTGTTCCGGGAGTTGGACCCACCCCCTTTCAAAATGACTGGATCCGCGCCTGCTTGATACATGTTATGCAAAATGCCTTTTCAAGTCTTAAATTATTTACCTCGGTCTATTAAAGAACCACATCAAACCCGCCATGTTCTAAGTGTCAGTTCTGAATCGAGAATGTTTTAGGGTTTGTGTCCTTACCTTCAATATCCTTGTCTATTTGAATCCATATAATGTTGTTTTCAAACGTTTGCGAGGAATTTTGTGACAACATTTCTAGGTTGGGTCTGATTAATAGAGTTTACTATTATTCGGTCGTAAGGACAATGTAAAACGCTCTTAGTTATGAAATCTCTGGTTGGTTTCTTGGTAGCTCATTGATATCTTCAAATCATATTATATTTCTTATACTGTAGAGATTCTTTTACAAGAAGTAGTTAAAAATACTTTAAAAATTTATTTTAATGGTTCTAGAGTCTAAAAGCAACTTGGTTTCAGACCGTTGTGAAGCTTTATT